TACCTCTGCCTGAAGTAGCATCACCTCCGCGAATACACGGGAAGGAAGACACGAGAGGGACGAACACTGCAACATAGGATCATTATGTCCAATGGTCAGCCATTGCACTTAAGAGTGCAGAAATCGGAAATTAATGCCGAGATTTGTCATTAAAAATTTAAAGATACACTTACTTACCTTGTATTCCTTGTTCACCTGCGTCTTATACATAACAATACTTAGCCTTCGTTGCAGTTCAATGACTGTCTCAAAGACACAACCTCTGTTGTACAAAATGAAAATCGCTACAGTACAGTTCATCTGAGATACCGTGTGTTCGGTGTTATGCTACAAGCAGTGATAAGAATTGGGTGTCAAGGTTTACCGTGGGTCACACTATAAAACCGCCGCTATTCCTTGCAAGTCCTCCATCAGTGGAATTTGATGCGGATCCGATTATACCGTCTTTCACACGATTGTTTTTTTTTGGGGGGGGGTGTTTGTTTTGGGTTTTTTGGTTGTTTTTTTTTGGGGGGGGTATATTATTATTATCCTTGTAATAGTTTGACCATTGAGTCGGGGAACCATCCCAAGGTCACCTTACAATCAAACATTTCTTGTTTCCAGATAAACTAGGGATAGTAAATATAATTTATTTTAAAAGAAAAGAAAAAAACACACACTCATACACACACTCATACACACACTCATACACACACTCACACACACACACACTCATACACACACTCATACACACACTCATACACACACTCACACACACACTCATACACACACTCATACACACACTCATACACACATGCATATGTCACACAATCTCTTTAGATACTCAGTCTAAATAGATGAATACATGCAGGTGACATAGGCTTTTGAAAATAGTGTTTTGTTCCTGTTTACCATCCAATCAGATACAAGTTACCTATGAGGTCCATTTTTTTTAAGGAATTTGTCCTCTCTTTTTGTTTACCTTAGCAGCATATTTTTTCGACGTTCTTATACATTACAACTCTCTGCTTAAAAACATAAATGGAAGAATTTTGCATATTGAATCTGCAAGTATAAATGTATAGTTTACCAAAATAAGCAAGAAATTATACAAACTGTCCAGAAATTATACAAACTGACCAATTGTTCACTTCCTAAAAGTGTTTCTTTGGACAAATGTACAATATTTGGGTAGAAGGTGCACAATGTTCGATAAAACTGCAACAGAACTGTGATGTAATATTGCAATCATAGAAGAGATGTTCAATACTTTCATTCTCTCTCTTATGGAACGTACATCTGTTGTCGTCCAATATGTTAATTCTTTTTTGAAAAAAAAAATCATTAGTAGCGATTATTCTGTTGATTAATTTAAAGTTAAAAGAGATAAATTTGATATCCGTGGTACAAAATTTCGCCCTGATATAAATCTCAGACCACTCATCACTACCTTTATTTTTATTTAATATTTGATTCCAAGATTATTGCTTAGTAGTATGTTGCCTTTTATCCCTTTTTAAAAGATCTTTTAAACAAACTTGAGTGAATTATATTTTTTTTCAGATCCATTATTTTATCCTCCTGCCTTTCAAAATTATTATGTTCTAAATGGGTTTTTTATGGCTTCTTTCCATGCTTTTTGAATTTTAGATATTAAGGAGAAGTATTTCAAGAAGTCACCACTTCTAGCTTTTTTTTTTTGTTCTATCCTTTCAACTGTAATAAAATGCCATAATCGTCTACTAGATCATTCAAAATTTCAAAACCTGCTTCTGTCCAGGATTTGTAATGATATAACATTATGGCTGGGATAAAATTAAAAATACTCATGGATAATAATACATTTGCACTCTGTGGTTCCTCTTTCCAATAAGATATTGCCAAAATGAGATCTTTCCAAAAACTGTTTTTAATGAGCTTACTAAATTCTTCTAATTTCCTTCTCCCTAAGTTTCAAACATCTTTTTCATTTCTGAGTATAGTTGTACTGAGTAAGTTCTGCCAAGCTCTATTTTCATTTTCCTGCAATCTTTTTTACCAATCTTATCTTAGTATACCTAATAAATGAGAATATATGTATCATACTGAGTCCTCTCTCGTTTTATTAGGCTACTATTATATCGCGTTTAATTCTCTCTACTTTTTCACCCCATACAAATTTAAATAATGTACGATTTAGTTCTTTGGCTGATGGATTTGCAAGAGCTGAGAAAAGATGTATTAAAAAACGGGTAAAACAAGGGTTTTTACAACAATTACCTTACCAACAAATGACAGAAGTCTTTGACTCCAGCTTGCCAATAATCGTTTTGCCTTTGTTAGTTTCTTTATATAATTAATTTCTACCATTTGTTGTAAATCTGGCGAAAAATCTATGCCAAGAAGTGTAAAGTTAGAGGAGGACCAAATTAGGCCCACATCGGGACACCTTCTTTCATTAGAAAATTTCTTGTTTCCAATCTGAACGGCTTTTGTTTTTGTTATGTTACATTTAAATCCAGATATTAGAAAAAAAAAACTTTGCAAGATATTCATAGTTGCTTTAAGAGAAAGTTGAAATCCATCAAGATGAATAAAAGCATCGTCGGCATACTGACTCAATTTATATTCATTGACATCAAAGATCAGACCCGGACATCCAAATTTTGCTTTAAAGTTATAGCTAAAATCTCAACTCCAATAATAAACAAGTAAGGTGCAAGGGGATCTCCTTGACGACATCCTCTTTCTAGTCTAAAAAATATGCCCATTATTTATAACACAACTTTTAGAGTCATTACAAAACAGCCTAAACCACTTACAAATAAAATCACCAAAGTTGAAAGATTGTAAAGCTTCTTCCACAAAGGTCCATTCAATTTAGTCAAAGGCTTTTACAAAGTCTATCAATAATAATAAGCCATATTTATTTTCATTTTCAAGTTGATTCATGATATCGTATAGTAGCCTGGTATTTTCTCCAATAAATCTACCCTTCATAAATCCTTTTTGGGTATAACTGATTATTGAGTGAAGAATCTTTTTGATCCTGGCTGCAATGGCTCCCGAAGCAATCTTGTAGTCAATATTTACAAGTGATATATATATATATATATATATATATATATATATATATATATATATATATATATATATATATATATATATATATATATAGATCTCCAATTTTTTAAAAATCTTAAATCTTTTTCTTCCTTTTGTAGACATGTTATGACTCACTGAATCTGAAAATCTGAAAGTTTTCCTACAGTGTACCCGCTAACCGGCATCCGCTACATATTCGTGGGTATTTAAAAACAAATAAATTCGCATTATGAAAAAAAAAGAATAAATGATAACAATGCAAGTTTAGATTTTTTTATTTTATTTTCAAATAAGTGTATGTTTATCATTTTTTGAACCTTGCAAAGAAGGAAGGCACAAATTCAACACAAAATGAATTCCTTATTTTTATGGAATAATGAAACACATATAATTGTCGATATTAACTAGTAATGACAAGCTTTAATTAACGCGCGCACACACTACTACAACACTAAGACAACTTGAAAAATAAAAACAAACAATATAATTAACTGGTAAGAGCTACATTTTGCAGCAACATTGACAAAATGCTCAACATTATTCTCTCTCTCTCTCTCTCTCTCTCTCTCTCTCTCTCTCTCTCTCTCTCTCTCTCTCTCTCTCTCTCTCTCTCTCTCTCTCTCTCTCTCTCTCTCTCTCTCTCTCTCTCTCTCTCGTAACTGAGTGTGTATTATAGGCAGTAGCGTTACAATGTTTAGCCTAAAATGAAATATATTTGTTTTATTATCTCATTTACACTACCCTTATAAAAATGTATACATATTCTGTATAATAGTATTTGTTGTTTTATTGTTTAATAAATGGATATTGATAATTTGACCAGAAGACTTAAATTGAGAACGTCGTTGTGCAGATGCATATATTTTTAGCATAAAAATGTATATAAATATGTTAATTAGAACGAGCAAGATATATATGCTTGTGTTTACTTATATATATATATATATATATATATATATATATATATATATATATATATATATATATATATATATATATATATATATATATATATATATATATATATATCACAGCTGGAATTCACTTTTTTCTGGTAAGCAGGGTATTTCGGAAAAAAGAAAAAAAATCGTTTTTCCCATCATCACTCTTTTGGTTACATCCACATGCAACACAATGTATCATATTTACTGTACAAAAGCACGATTGTAAGTTACATCGCAGACATTTACTTATGGAAATTAAACACTTGAATGGCTAGGTTGAATAGAAGGGATACATGTACGTCATATCCGTGTTAGGCACGCGGAAACTACCGATTGTTTACAGAGATTGCCGAATAATTTTTTTCATGTACAAAAGTGGATATATATATATATATATATATATATATATATATATATATATATATGTATATATATATATATATATATACACACATATATATATACATATATAACACATATATATACACACACACACACATATATATATATATATATATATATATATATATATATATATATATATATATATATATATATATATATATATATATATATATATATATATATATATATGTATGTATGTATGTATATGTGTGTGTGTGTGCTTTTTTGGTTGGCCGAATCGCTGTTTGCGATTGTGAAGACAATAAAGCCGAGACGATACAATCATCTGGTTTGTTTTGGCGTTCAGAATGGTCAGAAATTTAATAAACCTTATTATTTTCATTGGTGTTGTGATGTTTTTTTATTTTTAACGTACCTTTAACAAATTTTCGGTCATATCGCTACGACGTCTACAGTGTGGCTGTTTATAGTGATTTCTAACACTGGGGCATCATGCTGCAGACATGTGGCATGCTGTCTCACCCAGTCACATTATCCTGACACCAGGCCGACCAGTCCTAACACTAACCTCTTACTAAGCGCCAAGCGAGGCAGCTGTTAGTACCATTTGTGTAAGCCTTTGGTAATTCTTGGCCGGGGATCGAACCCACGACCTACCGCATCTGAGGCGGACGTTCTACCCACTAGTGACTAGGCCACCGGAGCAATTTATTTTCATTGGAATTTTAATTTTGCCTCTTGATTTCAGTAAGCAATAAATTCACTTTAATGAAATGAGCTATCTCTTTTTCTTCTCTCTGTCGTTCTATTTTAAGAACTCTCCGTCTTACTCTCTCCAGTAATTAAATTATATCACCGAATACCCTTGTGTTAGAAACGAACCTGGGTTAGATTAAATTAAATACGTGTGGATTTTTTTTTTTGAAAGTTTAACTCCGTCCGTTCATCACACCAACTTTTGCTGGTGTGCATCAAGCGGAGAAAGCCGTATTTAGGTTTTGCAAAGAATCGTCCATTACATTACATACGAAGATAGCAATTTTAAAAAGTCGCGTATAACAGTGCAATAAAAGTTGTACTTCCTGCATTTAAAAGCCAATGATTTTTTTTACTTGAGGAGTTTGATGGTAGAACAGTCATCATGTTCATGTATTTCTCTTTTTCGAGTTTGCAGCTCAATACAGCGTAATGTATTCCTTGCTTAGTTTTTATTTCTTTCCCGATCAGTTTGTACACGATGATTAAAACATCGAATTTATCCTCGAATGTTTCCAGTCTTAAATGGATCGCTATTAAACCATCCACCGTAATTTCTGACATCATACTTTTTTTGATGTTCACTCGATTGATTCCACCGAAAACCCAAACTATCTATTATCATAATTTTCTATATTGGTATACGCCCTTTCATAGTTCCCCAACTTGGATTTTATGTTTCTAAGTCTGGCCCACCTGGCAAGTTGAATTAGAACTGGAAATGATTTATAATTTGGGGTCATCATTTATTTGATTTGAGGTTCAAATTGACGAAAATCAAAATGCAAATGTCTTCATCGTTTACATCCAAAAACCTGTTGACCTTTTTCAGTCCTGACTTGCGCCTTTTTCCGAACTAATCTCTCTCTCTCTCTCTCTCTCTCTCTCTCTCTCTCTCTCTCTCTCTCTCTCTCTCTCTCTCTCTCTCTCTCTCTCTCTCTCTCTAATCTCTCTCTCTCTCTCTCTCTCTCTCTCTCTCTCTCTCTCTCTCTCTCTCTCTCTCTCTCTCTCTCTCTCTCTCTCTCTCTCTCTCTCTCTCTCTCTCTCTCTCTCTCTCTTGTTTCACATATATGTAATTCTTCATCAAGCCTTTCCGATGCAAAAACTTCATGCCATGCACCATAAGACAACCAAAACATCTAATACAAAGAAGTGATCCTATCTCAAATTACAAATCACGAATACTTGAAAACATTCAAAGAATTATCAGTGTTAAGAAATAATAGATGATCCATTTGTCGAAATTAATCTATGCTATCACAAGGTTTCGATAATACTATACATTATGACGTCTGCTGCTAGAAGCTGGCTAAGGCTTGAGAAATATCTTCTCATGATCCCCCCCCCAATTAATCAAATGAATGACTAAAATCTACAAAATCTAACAACGGGGTTGTAAATAAAAAAATCTCATATTTCATTGACTTATTATAATAGCAGGTGATGTATTCAGTTTCATGGAAATAGGCCAAAAACTGCCTGGAGTAGTTACACTCACTAAATCGTGTCAAACACTACATCCAGCTGTACGTCAAAAAGAGCAATAACTCTTAAAAATTAAGTTTTCACGGCGATTCATTAAAAGCAAAAGTTTCTCGAATAGTTCTGCAGATAATTTCAAAGTGCATTCTTGCGTGGTCATCGTGACATGTCAATATTGCTGTGTTGGCTAGTCTCGCAATAAATTGTTGACTACGAGGGATATAATCTGCTTGGGGCATAAATTGAATTTTAATTAGGACTCGCTTGGCAAACAGCAACAAACGAAAGTCAATATTAGTACGATGTCATAGCGATAAACTGTCCAAAATGACAAGAAATAAGGGAGAATTTTAGGAAAATGTAGTCCATTTGAAAAAGGTGTCAATATAAGATATTTTCGAGAATAGCAATGATTAAAGGCGTATTATATTTGATTTTCTGACTTCGATGGGAGTAATAAAGAATTTGGCGGGTAAAGTAGTTATCCTGATTTTCTAATCTAAACGAGGGAATGTGTTCCCAGACGGAATTCATGGTTTTAAGAATAGTTCCCTAGTAGAATTAATCAGTCTGAGTTTCTGTGTGGTGCCAAGAAGTTGACGCAGAGGAAAAATATCAAGTCCCCTTTCATCGTTGAATAAATTGTTTTAAGGATGGGTGTCAGAAAGTTGAGGACACAAAATGAGATTCAGCTGCATATTAATCTAGAATTAAACACAATGATTGCATGCAAAATGTATCATTATTGATGTAAGTCTGCAATTATTGAATTTATTCGTTTTAAATTCATCATTCAATTTTATTTTTTAATGTATGAAAGAATGTCATCATATATCGTGATATGAATGAGTTCTGATTTCGAGGTTTGGTGTGCAACAGAAAGTATGTGTCCATAAGACTTCGCGCATTTCTTCTGAATACGAATTATGAGAAGTTCATAATCTGAGTTAAATAATGTGTATCGATTATGCCGAGGATTTATTTTCCTTCGTCTGGAAACGCATGTCAGTGAATTACTAATTAGCAAATTAACGTATTTAGGATAATGAGTGAAGTCCAATAATTCGTATGTAAAGTTGTGAATTCATTGCAAATGAAGCGATGACGTAGCATTAGGAAAGGGTAAATTTATGGCCACAAGGGGGTAATGATAATATCAAAGAGGGCTAATTAGGTCATAGTACTCATTTAAGAATGCAGCCGCTAACGAGACATCGAATTGTGCTAATAGATTTTTTTTGTGTATGAATGCGCATGCCCATATCTGGTTCTAGTGTTAGACAATATCTCACGAGTATTTCGGTTGGGTACTATATTTTTTTTAAAGAGAGAGAGAGAGAGAGAGAGAGAGAGAGAGAGAGAGAGAGAGAGAGAGAGAGATTCTTGTCTTGCACGGTAGGAAAAGAGAACAGTCTGCAACCAAGGGAGTGATTACCCGAAAGGCAAAGAGAGAGAGAGAGAGAGATTCGCCGACTAATCACCAGCAGTGATTTTGGAAAGACCGGAAGTATGCTGTCATGATGCTAGGCAATCTGAGTTCCATCTGTGACTCGATCGTGTGAAACTCGTTATATCAGTAACAGAACGCCTAACTGAAATTCGCATAATTTTTTAAAAACTACTTCTGAGTGAAAGTGAATCATTTTCATGTCATGTTCGACTTCATTTTGTTGATGCAGTTGATTACATTGTTCTATTTTACACACAATGATTCGTGGTATTCTATTCTTTAACTCCGTTCTCCGTTATTCCATCAAATAATTTCATATTTTATGTTTAACCTTTACTTGATCCGGTCAATAACGCCATCGTCGATCATCTCCTAAATAACGACAACCAAAAACTGTAAGGAGTTGAGGATCTCTCACATCATCCACCAACCTATGACACAGACAAACCGCTGGGACTAATTGCGCTAAGAAGATTTGTCGAACACTGAATTAAGCTACAATACCAATAATTCCAAGAAAAATTGCGGGAGCAAAGGGATTTATCTTCAAATGATGACGATAATATGTACCAAGTTTCGTGGCAATCCGTCCAAAACTGCAGAGGAGGGATTATACAGTGGAACAGAGTTAAGGCTCTTGTTGTTTCTATAGAAACCGAACACCAGCATTGTTGTTCTGTTAAAACGAGTGACAGTAAAGTCCATATATTTCTAATAAAACACAAGGCAGGACAAAAGGAAAAATGAAATACAGAAAGAAAACGATCTTAATGTGGACAAAACAATGCAAAATGCAAATGGGGGAGTAGTGGATCCCACATAGTATTTGCACTCACCAAATTCTGTAAAGATATTGCATCCAGTTGTACGTCAAAATGGGCAATAACGCTAACAAATTCATGGGATGTGTGTATCTGTAGAAGAGGGGAGAGTGTCAAAGCATCATAGCAGGCTCGAATTAAGCCCCATAGCAATCTAATAAAGCTGGCTCAGACCCCACTCACACCACAAAATGGAAAGAGGACGAAAAAAAAAAATACCACTGCGTTGCGCCTCCCCACCCTCAGGCTGGGGCATTGTAGCATCTGTTCCATTTGCTCCCCCTTAAAACCAGCCTTAGTCCAAAGATTCAGTTTTTCAACAGTGATTTGAGGTGTAAGGAGGATTCATTCTTGATGCAGTTCTTGAAAGCAAGTGGTGTCCCACAAGTATCTTACATGGTACGTACATAGTCCTATTTACACCAGAATATATGTGACAAGGCTGTACAAATTTCATTTTCCGACGATAAAATCAAAAACAGTAATTATACAAGCTGTACTCTTGTCAGTTTAAATTTTTCAAACAATGATATATAGAGAACTAATAAAACGAGATACTGAAATAAAAACATCAATACATTATTTTTCTATTGAACATTTTAACAATTTAACAAATTTACTGTGAAAGTTAAAAAAAAAAAATAAACAAAGTCTCCAGTGGGATACGAACAAGAACATATATAACACTAATAAAACTGAAAAAAAAACATCAATACATTATTTTTCTATTGAACATTTTAACAAATTTAATGTGATAGTTAAAAAAAAAATAAATAAAGAAAGAATGTCTCTAGTGTGATACGAGCAATGACAATAAACTCCATCCACAGTGCTTGTCAGAGATGAGATGTGTGATCTCTCATTCCTTATGATGCTCGGGTTATTGTTATCTCGGAAATGATCAACCTTCGTTGTTGCCCGGATCGAGTAAAAAATGAAATTAAATATAAAATTATTGGATGGAATAACAGAGATACGATTATATATATATATATATATATATATACATATATATATACATAGATACATATATATATACATATATACATATATACATATATACATATACATACATATATACATATATATATACATATATACATATATACATATATATATATATATATATATATATATATATATATATATATAAACAGAGAGAGAGAGGGAGAGAAAAAAAAACAGAACAACAAGAG